CGGGGATTTGTTGGGTTTGGCAGAAGGGACTCTGTAGTTACCGAGTTTGGCCATGTACCGAAACCGCAGAAACTGATCCCTTGCGGATCAGCAAGAGGAATCCGCCACCTTGGGCCGTAGGTCTCTTCTGAAAGGCTTCAGGCATTAGGAGAGATGGAGAGTTCGTCGGTTGCCCTTGGCGCTCACCCACCCTCACCGGCGAGCCTGTGCGTCATTTGTCATGAGCTCCTGTCCAGCCTGAGCCCATAGCCGGTGCCCTGGACAAATGCTGTTACAGGAGTTCTGTCACCTCCAGCTCCGATGCGAGAGTTCCTTGTGGAGGTCTCTTCGGCAGAGTGGAGAGCAGGAGGTGCGGGTGGCCTGCCGCCTTGCTGTGCTGCCCGAGGGCGTGTGCATGGACAGAGAGAAGGGGAGAGGGAGATGGTGAGGCTTCTCCTTGAGTTTCAGGTTTTCCTTCCTTCCTTCCTTCCGTCCTTCCTTCCTTCCTTCCTTCCGTCCTTCCCTGCAAAGCTGCTTGGACGCCTCTGGGCCTGGGTGGCACGTGCAAGAGCCACAGCTGAGCTCAGGCTACCAGCTGCTTGTTTTGATAGCATCAGTCTGAGCTCCTCTAAAGCTACCACTCAGCTGTCCCCTTGCTCCGGCCCTACATACCAGAAGTCCTGGGCATGCTGAACAACAGCAGCAAGTGGCCCAGTAACTCAGCTAGTCCCTATCCCACAGGGACTGGTGGCATTTCTCAATCAAAGAACTAATGTGACTGTCATTCCCAAAACATACATGTGCTGAATCAGGTTCCTCATGAGCACAGCTGGAAGGGGGAAGCTGCTGAACTTCCCAGCAGTTACAGCCTGCTGGGAAGGAGGGAGAGGGAAGCTGGAATCCCCTCAGGCTGGAAGAGGAGAGGAGCTATGCTTTTCTTGCTCTAAATGCCTGCTGTGGATAAAAGGTTGCTGCATGTTGCTTGCCGTGCTTGGTGAGGAAGAGCTTATGCCAGCCCTAACTCCAGGAGACACTTCTCAACTGAGCAAAGCAGAAACAGGGAGAAAGGGAGGGCTGCAGAGAGATGAGGCTCAGGGTATTTTCTGCTGGCAGCATGCCAATACTCTTGGACCATCCCTTCCATGTGGTATGCATGAGGTACACAGTAGATACCAAGACTATAAGACTGTCAGTTCTGTTGACAGCAAGAGCTGAAGAATCAGGTAGAACAACTCACCACATTGCTGTGCCTAAGCTTTAACTACATACAGACTTGAAAAACATACCCCAGACTCGCTGACCCAAGAGCTTAAGTTGAAATGCTCTGCCTGGCATGCATCAACATGGCTGTTTATAATCACAAGTGAACAAGCGCTCATTGTTAAAAGATGTGGTTTGCTTACTTCTGGAGTAGAGTGCCAAATAGTATTTTTTTCTTTGAATATCAGTCATATTCATTGCATAATATTTGATCACATATAAAACCAACAGGTCTTGATGAAGAAAACAGCCCCAGACTTCGCTGTGCCAAAAAACTCCCGTGAAAAGTAGCACACCAGTAAAGAACATCTTAACACCCTCATTTCAACTGTGTAAGCTTCTGCCACACATGGTGCACGTGCATATATATCACTTGGTAATAAGCACTGTGACCTTGCTGACCTACAGGACAAACTTGAAAAAACAGGAAAAAATATTTACCAAAATGAATCAAACAGATTAGAATTTATATGCTCATTTCTGTATCTCATCACTGTTGTTCCACAGAGAGAGGGTCCCAGAAAAGGAGACCGTAATAACACTCAGCAGCTGTCTTTGTTTACCAAATTCACATAGTACTTCCATTCCAAAGCCAAACCAAGTATTATTTGCAGTGAGTCACAATATTAATATGAAATCGGTTTGTATGTGGTTACTCAAACTGAGTGCTGTCTAGAGCTTGGGGCAGGACTGATCTCGCGTGTGGTGGGATGCAGCGAGCCTCCCTCTGCAGATGGCTGTTTCTCCCCCCTAACTGAGAAGGGGTATCCTGTAGAGGGATGGAGTTAGTTGTCTAAGTCTAAAGTGAGGCGATGCAAATCGCACCTCTCCTATTTTTTTTACTGCTTAGCATGTGTATGTGCTGTTCTCAAGTCACTTATGCCTGAAGAAGAGAGAGATGGAAGAAAAACACTCTGCTTTTGCTTCCCCTGGAAAACTCCTTCGGCAAGTACCCAGGGCTAGAGCAGCAGCTGACACTTTAAGTCTTAACTAGGGAAGATTTTCCCAGAACAGAGTTAGCTTTTCTTGGGTTAACTCATGGCATTTTAAGTAGGTAACAAAACAGAGGCTGGAGGAATAAGGACATACCCTGCAGGTGGAAGTGTGATGTGTAGTGAGAGCTCACTTCCCTTTCTTTCACGTTGCAGGACCTGGACTTTCATGTCCAGCCCCTGCCCAGCATCCCTTTTCCCTTTTTCTCCACGCAGCAAGTCCAAGAGCATTCTGGCCTACGTAGGGGCCCAAATCAATACATCAGCTAAAGCTTTCATGGCAGCAGGGCTTGCACTTCTCTTTGAAAGTGAGCTTATGTTTCCAGGCACGGTCTTTATATCTGACAAAAAGTTTTCATTTCCACTGGGATCCGATACACAGAGATCCCTAGAAGTAGAGTTGTCTCAAGTACCATACTTGCTGGAGAGATTGGAGCAATTTTCTAAAATGCATAAAATAGAGAGGCAGGCTAAGAGCTGGGGCTCCATAACCCAGAAAGACAAGGAAGCGAGACTGGTGGAAGTAGGGTTAACTGCTTTGGTTTATCCCATTTGGTGTTGCTGGTGCCAGAAATTCTTGACAGTATTTTGTTGCATTCATGGTCTTTCCACGCCAAACTTCCCAAGCTGTAATTTCAGTTTTTCTTTTTTTCCTTTGTTACTTTTTGTGTTCATCTTACTCTTTCACTCGAAAGCTCCTCATCCAGGGATTGGTTTGTGAGAAAGCCCAAGAGACCACATCCCAGGATAGGTGTAACTCCAGGCATTCAAAGTCAGGGAGTTTGGTGTTCGGTTCTGGACTGTAGTTTGCCCTGCTTGTTTGTTCTTCAAACTGATTTGTGTGTTTAAGAGTGAGAAAAAATACACACTGTTGTTGTAATTCAGAGTAGATCTGAGTGTCTGTCTCTGCAGCAGAGCGGCTCCCCATGGATGCGTGGGTCCACACCAGCTGGCAGATCCGGGAGGGGAACGGAGCCTGTCTCCTCTCCTGACAGCGAGTAACAAACCCCCTCACACAGCGTTTGTGTGTCCGTACTGAGACGGCAGGATGGCTGGGGCACGGCCTCAGCCACTGCTCATGGCATCAGGGCACGGCTGTTAACGGCCAGTCGCCCTCCACGCTGGAGAACACACACGAGTGGGTCTGTGTAACAGCGTCCAACTCCAACAGATCTGTCCTGCTCCTTCCAGGAGCGAGTTCGAGGCCTGGGGATCCTCCCTGTAGTTGGAGGGAGACCCTGAAGCAGCCAGCCCTTCCCGAGCACTGGCCACACACTGCTTCTCTGCAGGGTGGGTCGCTTCTTTCTGGTCTCCCAGGGCTAAACCGGTGCCCTAGCTCTATGCAGGATGCCCCAGCCTGCTCTAGATTAGAAAATTCTGGGGACTCAGAGGAATTGACTGGTTTTTGTCAGATAGCTCAGGCGAGAGGTAAACGGCACGGAGCAGCCTCGAGCAGTGGCTCTGTGGTTTCCCCTCTAGCATACTGAAGGGGTGATTTGGGGTGAAGGGCAGGGGAAAAATGTAAATCATCGTTGTCCCATACACAGGACTAGGCATGTTCTCCTCCTCCTCTTGCCGTTCTCCTCCTCCTCTTGCCTTTCCCCTGCAGCCTCCACGGCTGCAGGGACTCTGGACAAGGAGAACAGGGGAAATGGTGGAGAGTGGCTCTGCATTCGTGATGCGATGAACCACTAACAGAAACCAGGGTATCTCGTGATGGCTGAGCTACCTCGCTGGAGGAGGAAATGACTCACGTTCCCATGGCCGGCTGGCCTCAGGCAGCACCCTCCAGCACAGGAGGGGCTAGGTGCAAAGAAAATTGAACTTACAGAGCGGAGCACTTCCCACACTGCAAACCACCAACAGCAAACATTTGCCTTCACTTCAGAGTTGGCCTTATCTAGGATTTTCTGTTAAAAAAAACCCCAACGGACTATCGAAACCCCAACTTGTATGAGAAGGAGGTGTGGAGGTGTGGGGAGGGATGAGCATGCTGCCTTCCGCTTCCCCTTCAGCAGAGATCAGACTATTTTCAGAATGATGTGTCTTGTAACTGGAAGCACTGGCAGTCCTGGAGTAGCTGGGGTAATGGAGGAAGGACTTGGCTTGTGTGGGTTTATTCACAGAGCGGGTGATTTTTTCTTTTTGCTTCTTTTCCCCCTTCCCCCTTTTTGTCATCCAGAGAGGACCCGTGTCCTGGTACCCTTCAGATGTCACAGTGTGGTAAATCCTGAGCAAGTACTTCTACCTGCATAAGAGCAGGTTCAGACCAGCTGGCTATCTTTACTATGGGCATGCAGTTATACTGGTGAAAAGCACAGCTGTAATGGAAGAGCTGGCTCTGTGTTCAAGGGCTTCCATTGCTGCAAACTGAACCATCCCAGTACAGACCAGGCTGTTGCAAAGCGTGTTCAGAAAGTTTGAAAAATGAATTTAAAAAGTGAGGAGTGGTAAGGAGATAACTCGTAACCTCAGGTTGCATTAGAAGCATCTCACCTGTGCATACGTTTGCTACTCAGCCTCACCCCAGTGCAGATGTTTGCAGCTTCACAACCTCCCTCTTTATTTTCCTCTCTACAGAGCAAGCTGGAGATGGTGGACCATCTTGCAAACACTGAGATCAACAGCCAGCGCATTGCTGCTGTGGAAAACTGCTTTGGGGCTTCTGGACAGCCCTTAGCTGTGCCAGGAAGGGTCCTTTTAGGAGAAGGGATTTTAACCAAAGAATGCCGCAAGAAACCAAAGCCTCGCATATTCTTCCTTTTCAATGACATCCTCGTCTACGGCAGCATAGTCATCAACAAAAGGAAGTACAATTCCCAGCACATCATTCCCCTTGAAGATGTCACTTTGGAGACGCTGCCAGACACCTTGCAGATGAAGAACCGCTGGATGATTAAAACCTCCAAGAAGTCCTTTGTGGTTTCCGCGGCCTCCCTGACGGAGAGGAAGGAGTGGATCAACCATCTGGAGGAGTGCATCGGGCACCTGCTGACGAAGACGGGCCGGCAGCACTCCACGGGGCACGCTGTCCCCCGGAGCCCCG